AGGTAGGTTTTAACACAGATGCATCAGCAGAACCATTCTGGGTTCCCCAAAAGCATTGTTAAAAGAACCATTTTGTTCTTCATTTGAATACAATTTTTATCATCCTTAATAGCCTTTTACACTATAAAGAACCGTTAGTTGAATTAAAGACTGAATTAAAGGTTCCTCATGGAACCATAATAGATACCAATAAAGAACCTTTATTTTTAACAGTGCACGGTGTATATTTCATTGTATTGGAATATTTTTTCTCATGAAACTGTACAGATATTTTCATACCAAGAATCAATATTTCAATTTTAATTTTCTACATCAAATTTTAAGTTAATTATTTAACACTGACCATGCACCATTAGTTTATCTGGCCAAAATCTCAAAAAGAGCAAAGAATAGAATTACACAAAGCATCTAATGCAAATGAAAAAGAATAAAAGATTTGCAGCCCTAATTAACACATTAGATATTTCTGGGACAAATTTGTACCAAGAAGTGAGTTAAATCTGAAAATTTGGTAAATCTGTAATTTGTCCTAATTTGAAAAGAAAAAAATGTATTATATTTATATAAAAACAATACAAGTCTATGGCAGGGATTTTCAATCTTTAGATGCCACAGACCCTCAAATATGATCCTGGTGTGAGGAACCCCCATACTAAAATTGAAAAAGCATCTATATTAAAGACCCAATTTATACTGTGAAAAATATTATAATTATGCTTAAATTATTATTTGGAAAATATTTAGTTTCTATTATGGTACATTATTATGTTACTTTGGTTCTGTACTCTTAGATGTATTCTTTCTTTATTCAAATTTAGTGTATTTTTTTTTTAATTATCCATTTATTTGGAACGTTAGGTAGTTTTAATCTTATTTTTTTATTTTTTCTTGTTTTTCTCTAAAATTTTCCTGGACCCCCTAGCACTCATTTGCAGCCCCTGGAGGTCCACGGACCCCAGTTTGAAAAACCCTGGCCTATGGAATGTCCCCATTTAAATAAACGTGTGTGTGTGTTTGATCTGGTTGGAGCAAAACTGACTGGAGCTCTTTTGCAGTCTTTTACTTCTCACCTCACTTTCTTCATCTGTCACCTAGCAGACATCTCTTTCCCTTCACACACACACAAATAGACACACACTTCTACCTCATCTGGCCATTGCTGTGAATTCTCTGCCTGTAACAACAAACCACCATTCCCCACTTCCTCCTGACAGGTGCTCCCAATGAAAAGACCTCCAGTGTGAGAGATGCATGGCGCCCCATCAAAGCTATAGAGTGACGGGAAGTGAGCAGAAACAGAGAGAGAGAGAGAGAGAGAGAGAGAGAGAGAGAGAGAGAGATGACCCTCTGAATGTCCTGAGAAGCAAAGCAGCATACAAACACAGTCACGCTTAAGTTAACAGAGACATCACTGACCGCCCTGAGCATCATTTCAGGGTCTATACACAACCGAGCAAACACAATGAAGCAGTCATGAACTCAGGCTCACCTGCACCTCCAGCAGCTAGACCCAGAGTATCAGCCAGGAGCCAAAGAATAAGCTACACGCCATATGTCAAGTCAAGTCAAGTCACCTTTATTTATATAGCGCTTTTAACAATACAGATTGTGTCAAAGCAACTGAACAGCATTAATTAGGAAAATAGTGTCAATAATGCAAAATGACAATAGTAAACACTAATTTTTCAGTTAAAGACATATATTATATGTCACATATAATAAGACAGCAACACAAAAACTGAAACTAATACTGTTCATTATTATCCACAAAATATATTAATAGATACAGAGGGGAAGTTTCCTGAGGTATATTTTCAGGCTTAGATCAAATACACAAGATACTGAGGTCTTTTGGAGGTCTTGCTCTTTATGAACCTGCCATCTGCTGATGAAAGCCATGTATTACAAGTTGTAGTAGTCTATTTTATAATCAGTCAAGAAGACTTTCATGTTTCACCTTGAACATTTTTTCGTTTTATTTAATGATATCAACCCTGGAGAGAAGATTTATATTCGTATTTCTTGCATTCATCTCTTCCTGCTATGCAGTTGAGAAATGATGCATCCAAATTTAACCTCTTAAGACCCGAGAAAAGATTTTTAGGGGGAAAAAGGTTTTTTTTCATGTCTTTACATTGTTTAGAATGTAAAAAAAAAAAAAAATTGTAAAAAATGATATTTCATTCATGTTAAGTAATTTTTTTTAAAATAAAAAGGCATGAATGAACATGCACAGGCAAAAACAATAGATTTTTTTAAATCACCAATACATTTTTAGTTTTCAGGATTTGTTTTATTACCAAACTTTTGATTGATGATTCTCAACAATTTTATAACAGAATGATTTGATATACCATTTTTCTTTCTGCAAAATGTGTGTAAAATGGCCATAAACGGGTTTTCTCATTATTTACAATGTATCTATAAACTAAATCTAATTTGCATATTAATGTGTTTTTGGGGCAACATGTTATGAAAAAAGAAGTGTAATAATGGGAGTAAGATTTTCATAATAATATAAAATATTTCATAGTCAGACATATTTGAAGACCAAGGAGAGGGAGTGGTCATAGTGAAACATCCAAACATTTAGTATCTCTGAAAAGCCCTGAATGTGCTCAGTACAGGACGTCCAGACTTAAAACTGTGGCATGTATAGTCTCAGAGAAATACACCAAAATATAATGTCCTCATATGAGGTCACAGGGTCTCAGGAGGTTAAAACATAAAATATTTTTTGTCTTCCTGAATATGTTCCCAGTAGTCTTATTATTTTTGATCATAGTTTCAGTAAGTGTAATCACGCCATTGTCTCACTGCATTTAAAAAACATATTGTATTCACTTACCTTAGGCTACCTACGATGGACAGAAAAGAGTTGATAACTTTAGATGTTCAGTTGTCCTCCTCAAGGGGGCGCATGGAACTCAGAAAGCCAAATCCTCCATTGCACTGCATGCAAAATACTTTTTTGGACATTTTATATTTTTTCTTGTTCCATAGTGCGTATTGTGCGCTAGTAGTCAGACTTGATAAAGATAAGGATCTACTGACCCGCAAAAACACGCCTGTGTAGCACAAATGCTCTGTTTGCCCCATCAAGAGTGGATCTAATTAGAGACGAGATTCAAAAGGGCATTTGAAATTATTTCCTTTTTAATGTTTTAAAATTCGACTCGGCTTACTCTCTTAAAACTGTTCTTACACAAGAAACAGTCAGCACTTTTTTCACTTACACATTTTTATTAGGCAAATGCACATTTTCTATTTGACATATACTTTGACCAAAAAAAGGTACAATAAAATAAAACATCACCTCCCAAATCTGGCATCTTATAAAATCAAGAAATATGAAAATAAGGCTTTGTTTAACCTTTAAGTGGGGGATATTTAAAAGATTCACAAACAATAGCACCCCAGATACTCACAGGGTCAAATTGAATCTGTATATAAAATATAAAATAAATACTTTCCTATGAAATGGCGCAGAAACAAAAAGTGTCTGCCAGTAAAACAGTATCAGTAAAATATATCTAGTTTTAGAAATTGTGGATAGTACCTTCTTGTCACAAGGACAAAAATAGATTTTTCAATGATGAAACACAACTTCACAAGTTAATTAGCAACTGTTGTAATATCAGAGGATATAAGATGTATACACACAATCGGAGGTGGCCTGAATAATTCGAAACATTAAAATATCTTCCAAATAGTCTAAACATGACTGCTCGTCTTTTATTTAATTATAACTTTACAGTGGGTGTGCAAAATACCTATAAAAGATCTTACTCTTAATACAAGTCTATATTTGTAAACAAATTATACCAGTATAATTCAATAGCCTCTTCACAGCAAATGGCTTTTTAAAATATCTATTTTAAAAAATAACAAGTCCACATTTTTGTGTTCACACAATCAAAACATGCTGAACAAACAAAGAAAAAGAAAATATACAATATTTATAATATACATTTGAGCTGAATCACAAAATATCATTTACAAATATTGCAGCAATTTTAAAAAAAAGTGAGTTTTAGGAAAACCAAATGTTATTTTCAATGACACATTCATGCTGCGTTTTAAATAAAAACGTAAGTATGACACTTTATGTCACATCCAGGGTAAAACTGTAACTGCGCAATGTTGATAAAATATTTAGACTTAGGCTTTATGCAGTTAAACTGACACAAAAAGAAAATGAATCTATAATACTGAAAAACATTTTAACTATGCATTTGGGTGTAAAAATTTGGACTAACAGTAAATGGAAATACTGAACTAGAACAACCAAACAGCTCTTGCAAACATGTTGGCGTCACTATTCAATCAACTATCAAATCATAATTAAAAAAAAGGCCTAACCCTTTATTATTTTGCCTTTGAATCCTGCAGCTATATTCATTTTCTAAGCTGGAAGCATCCAAACTGCTGAAAACAAACTTAAAACTTGAGCAAGACAACCAGACAACTAACAGCAGCAGGGAAGGGAGGGGATCAAAACTGTTTATTTATGTTATTTTAATTTTAACATTAATGTTATGCTTTAATGTTATTTTAACCTTAAACTGAATAAATTCACTGATGCCAATCATTAATATTTCTTCCTTAAAATTTTTATTTTATGACAAATGTACATTTTTGATGGAATATTGCAGATTTTTCATTGTTATTTTTCTAAAATTCATGTGCCCTCGTCTCATAATCGTTAATCAAAATATCTTCCCCTCCCTCTTGAAACAACACCTTGTCTCTTTTTTTGATGGCGTGTTTACAGGGGCAAGCGTGGGGCAACCGGTCACTCACATGAGATCGCAGCAATAGCAGACGACAACGATCCAATCAATTCCCATTAGACAAAATTAAGTCTCGTCCTACATTTTTTCTTATTTGAGAAACCATTTCAACTGCATTTTTTCTCTTATTTGTGTGCAAACAGATGATTAGAATGCCGGTTAAAATAGAATAGTGGCACAATTTCAGATTCCCCATCTTAATAAATGCTTGTATGTACACTACAAATTAAACAAGGCATCACAATACTGAGATATTGCAGAATCCCTGATTCCCATCCTCTAGTGTCTATTCAAGAAAAAACATATTTTGTTTGGTTTGAGAATAAGGGCTCATCTAAGTGCGTCAACTAGGCGAAGTGTGCTGAAGAGGACAGGTTGGACGCCTCTCCCCTGTGATCCAGTTGGTTTTGCATCTGTGTGATTTTGGCCAGAACCTCCAACTCCTGGTGCTGCCGCTCTGTTTTGTGGCTGACCAGCGAACGGTAGAAATGCACAGCGAAAACAATGAACACCAAGCCAAAGGGCACCATGATGGAGGTAGAGGCGATCGCTGCAGCTTCCCCCGGGCTTATACTTCGAGATTCATTTACATTCGCTTTCGAGGCAGAATCTTTGATATTCTTCAGAGGGAGGAACTTCACCCAGCACAGAAGAACCACCTCTGCAAGAAAGAGGAGGGTGCCTATGACGGTGGAGAAGGCCCAGGCCAGCTCGATGTGGCGGTGCATGCGCTCGTGTGGTGATTCCTTTATGGAGTTGAGGTTGTGGACGTTGCTCACGGCCTCCAGGTTGGGCAGGATACATGTGCTGATCATCAAGGCAAAGAGATGGACGGCCACCAGCACTGTTGTGCAGGCACTGAAAGCAATCAATAAGCCAGGAGGGTAATCGTGATCATCCTCTAGCTGGACCTCCACCATCGCCACCTGAAAACACATTCATTGGTAACATAAGACTGAAAAAAGAAAAGCATAGTTAACCTCAATAAATTAAATATTCAAATAAATAAATTGAGAAAAAGCATGCACAGCTGTGCTCCTCTGATGATGTTACTTTTACTGAAACATATTCCTTTAATTCTGAATTCGTTTTTTTTTTTTTTTTAAACCAAGCATTGGCTATTGAGAGTTTAATTTTGGCATACAACAAGAAATTATTAAATTAATTAGATTATTAAATTAAACTACATGCCAGTGTTATTTTAGTATCATTGAGATTCTATTATTTTAATTAGCTTTTATATTAAAATTAAACATTTTAATTTTTTGTAATATATTTATTACTAATATAATATATTTAATTTTCCATTTTTAACGTTTTAGTAATTTTGTGTTTTTGTCATTTGTATTACTTTTTGATTTAAATATGTCCATGCAGTTTTTACTCATTTTTATTGTTATTTTAGTTTAGTTATTTTAGTACACCAAGTAAAACTAACCGATCGCAAGAAATATTGCCCTGGCAATCCAGCAGAAATAAAATAAGTATAATGTTAACTATACTATACCCTTCTACATAAACAGATATTGTTTGATTAAAACATTAATGCTTGCATCCAATCGTCTGTCCGAATATGGATTTAGATGTGACGAAAATTATATAATCCCAAAGAAAATGGATTTTAAAAAATTCCATTTTATAAATTTAAATTAATTGTATGCAATGGAATTGTGACAAAATGTTCAAGAATTGTGTTGCATTAGCTCACTGTAACTAACTACCTAAATTGATAAAGCAGTAAAAAAAAATAAAAAATTGATTCTATATTCTCTTCAAACAAGTCTCAATATATTGTAATTTGTAATTATGTACTTAAATGTGTAATTTTACTCGTCTTGTTTTATTGATGTTAAAAATTTTAAATTTTGATTGAAAAACAAGACAAACATTTTTATTAAGAACATTTTTTTACAGTGTGGCAGACTTATTAAAAATTATAATCTGGTAGACAAATTATTTTTCTCATGCTTTTGAAAACACCACTGATCACATGTCCTCTGTTTAATGAGGCCCAAAAGCAGCCCAACATGTTACCACAGATGCAAGTGGCACCATGTAACAAGTGCACTACTCTTGTACAGTCAGTACAACCAAGTAAGAAAACTACAACTGAAATGTGTAATTATGCTGCATGTTCACACGGATCCCTAAGAGAGAGCTGTTTATGAAATGCAGTTTCCTCATGCCACTCATATTCAGCTCATTTCCTGTGCTGCACTTATTGCTCAGAGACAAACCTCAAGCACAATAATCACCCTCTACGCCTTTTTCCAGTCGCTTACACGTATTTCCCGAAACTTATAACACCTTTCTGGTTCTCAGGTCAGTCGAAACTGTAGTTACGAGAACAAAATAAATAGGCTTATGAACTTTAACAGGGGAGGAAACAATGCTTCCCATATCTTTTGTTGTTGAAATCAAAGGCTGTGTGTTCAATCAAACATCATCACTACAATACGAACAGGTTGCATAACATGTCCTCATATTCATATTTTATGAGAAAAACTGAAATGCAGTCAGGAAATATCTGCATTAATGTTTTCATATCAATATCAATTTCTTTTAATAATATGTCAAATCAAATCAATTTTTATTTGCATAGCACTTTTGACAATACATAGTTTCAAAGCCATTTTGTTTCCTTTACAGAAATTCATGATAATAATACCTTATTGTCTACGTTTCTACATTTAGCAGTTTATTTTACACCAATCACTGACAATCATTATATATATATATATATATATATATTTTATTTGCATAGCACTTTTGACAATACATAGTTTCAAAGCCATTTTGTTTCCTTTACAGAAATTCATGATAATAATACCTTATTGTCTACGTTTCTACATTTAGCAGTTTATTTTACCTGACAATCTGACAATCATTATATATATATATATATATATATATATATATATATATATATATATATATATATATATATATATATATATAGTTATTCTACATGATTCTATATCCACATTTATAATGTAATGGACTTTTATCAGTTTACTTAACACAACACTGTCAAAGGAAGTACATTTCCTCTGTGCAAGGGATCTTCCAGTAAACGGAAACATGTCACTGATGATAGTGAGGCCCTTACTAATTTCACCACAATAGTTAATAGAGTTATTGCTACTTTACAATTATAATTAATAATACAAGACCTCCTCTCAACATTGTAAGATGCTTTTAATTTTATATTAGCTGTGGTCAATACAAGTTCCCTATGATATTGCAGACCTCACTGTTTCACTGTAATAACAATTACTGCAATAATGCAGTAGTTATTTTAACTGCAGTAATAATATTTAAACTATTTGGTATTTAAATGATTTAATTTAGAGGAGTTTTGTTCGTAATCGTATCGGTGTTAACGACTCTTTTAAGTGAACAAATCATTCTCGTTTACTCCCATGCACTGGCTCAAGCTTTTCATTCACTGAAGGCACTTGAACCGACTGCGTTCTTGCCCTCAATGACAGACTACAGCATAAACCAATGGCATTCGAGTCTGTGTTGTGAAGGAACATTTCATTGGTTAAGCCTGCTGAACGAATACGCCCTCCTTCACTGAACCAGTCGCTGTTTTGCAGGAGATTTGGTGCTGTGCTGAAAGAGATGACTCTTTTGCGAACAAACTGAATGAACTCTGAAAAATAGTAATTAAAGGATTAGTTGTCCTGGTAATTTATTCACCTCCATGTCATCCAAGATGTGTGTCATCTCTGTGTTTTCTGAAGTCCACAGTCAACGCAAGCGCTGTACATTCACTCCCCCCACCTACAATCCCTGCAGGTACGAGACTCGAACCCGCAACCTTTGGGTTACGAGTCCGACTATCTAACCATTGGGCCACGACTTACAAACAGGGACTTGAACCCAGGACCCTCAGATTAAAAGTCTGATGCTCTACCAACTGAGCTATCCGTGCCCTTTATGCTGTGATCCAATGATCCAAATGACAGAGCGGCATAATGAGGTTCTTAAATAGGTTATATTCCAACAGCTGTGCTGCATGAGCAAAGCAAGAGAGATGCATAGTCGAGTTAGAATTGATGATAAACAATAGCAGTCAAACGTTGTAAATCTCAAGGGTGAAAGAATAAAGGATATGAGCATAGATTGTTTTGAAGCATAGTGCATGAATCAAGCAGTAGATTCATACAGGGATTGTGGGTGGGTAGACAGACAATAAGAGGGGCTGGTAAGAGCTTTAAACCATGGGGAGCTGTATAATGAACAGAATAAAGTCATTACAGAAGAGCACCTATGATACTCAACACTTAATTTTTTACCACTGAGCTAATCACATGTGAACCAGGTGCCTGTGCCATTTTTTTTCTGTCAAGCAAAGAGTAAAAATAAAGACCATGTGAGCTACAAGTATGCATTTTACATGCTAGTTTTAATGGAAACATTAAACTAACAGCAGGTTTATATTCACAAATACAGCAAAATTAGATGTTTACCTTCAAATCTAATACAGAGACCACTTTAACAAAAATCTGAACCAAAATACTGACAAAAAAATAGCATTTCACTTCTATTCCCAGATGTCTAGTTCACTTAAATGTAAATCATTACAGTAAATCAAAGAATCATCAAAATTGTCTGATTTTACTTTTGAAAGCCTCAAATTAGCCTTTTGACTAGAGCTGGACCATATTTTTATCTTTTATTGGCAGCAGTGTGTTCTACGTGGCTGTAATCTATTATTATATTATTTAATTTGCATTCTTCGTTTTTTTCCTATTAGCAACGGCTACCCAACAGACCCAAGCCCAAAATGGCTGCATCAACAGCAACAACTCCTGCAGCGACCACTTCTTCATCCACTGCAACAGCGGTCAAGCTGCCATCCAGTCGAACTTCCTCTGGAGCTCGCCGTAGACGCACACGATGTCGAAAATGCGAGGCATGTGTGCGGACGGAATGTGGAGAGTGTCACTTCTGTAAGGACATGAAGAAGTTTGGAGGACCTGGTCGAATGAAACAGTCTTGCATTATGAGACAATGTATAGCGGTAAGAAACTCAATTCCAACAGACACTGAGATGATTCATGAGCCAAATGTCACACAGCTAATACATAAAATCACACTGAATTTTTTACATGAGCGACACCCATTTCTAGACACAAAATAAATTATTGTTGAAATCTGGTGATTTTAAATCAGAATAAAATGTTGAAGCAGTCTTAGTGAGGAATTCACTTTAGCCAGTACTCAAGGGCTGTTTACCTAAATTTCATTGAAATTAAGTAATTGGAATTCCTCCAGAATTCACCTTCACCACTAACTTCATAGAGCCTGACCAAACGTATGAGGATCTGGCAGAGTTCCATGTAAATGTAGTTGATGGAAATGTATCAAAACAGACATTTATCAATCTGAGATTCATGATATATGATCGAACTGTACAACTAAAGGTTTTAATTCAAATGAATGGTCCATTATTTTTAACAATCACCCAAATGTGTTTTTATCATATTTTGTTATATGTGGATTTTGTAAACACACATTTTCCAAGCTGTTGATATTCTGGATATTAAATTGTCGGCCTGTTCCACAGCCCGTGTTACCACATACAGCAGTATGTGTGGTTTGCGGTGAAGCCGGTAAAGAAGACACACTTGATGAAGATGAAAAATTTAATGCCATGCTCATGGAGTGCTCCATCTGCAATGAAATTATCCACCCAAACTGCCTCAAGGTCAGACTGACTGAACTCATCTTCACCACTAACATAAGAATAGATTTCTAAAGTAAATGCAAAGCAGTGTATACTGCGCTCTCTTTTGTTTTGTGTGGGCACAGAACGAGGAAGTGATTGGGCTAAAGTGCATGTTTGTGGGTGGCCCTGACAGTTTTTAACACCCTTTAGTTCCTCTTTAGTGTGTGGTGGTGTAGTGTATTCAAAGACTTTGCTAGAGTGTTTTCATTCCTCTGCTCTAAGTCCGGTCTCTT